GTGCTGGTTAATGAGTTGCACCCCCCCCTACCCACTTTCCCTCCATTGACACATTTAATGACTTTTAAGAAGGTTAATGGTTCTAGGATTTAACTAAATAGGTCAAACTGAAATCTAGTTAACACTCGAGGTGAATTTAGTCAGGATATATACCGTAGGTCTATTTATCGGTGATAATCAAGGCATTATGCTTGGTTCTGCATATGGTTTGTGAAACACCACATTGCTTTTTTGTGTGTTTGTAAACTCTAAAACAGCCATGAACACAAGAGGGACTAGGGACTAGATGTCTGAAAATGTAGACACACTCTGGTATAAACATTTGGTTTTGAGATTTAAGATTTTATTTTTATGACCTTTCCTACAGCTGCTGAAGTGATATAAATTACATGGACAGAACACACACACACACACACAAACACACGCACACACACACACACACACACACACACCGGCTGTGTATTGTGTTTCCCTCCTTTGTGCTGAATTTGATCACTCTTTCACATACAGTCATAATGTGATGATCACCTGCTCTCGGGTTCTTCTCACAGCTGTTCACTTTTAGCTGAAATTACTCTTTTTAATTCTGTGTTATGACTTGTGAATATGTTGTCTGGTGTTATACAACAGAATTTCTTAGCTACCGCTTTCACTGTCTTATGTTCTTCTCTTTTACTCATCTGTTTCCTGTCATCACAGTCAGTGGGAGGTGAAGAGTTCATTGTTCCTTTCTTTTAGTCAAAGCAACAGAACTTTATCTGTTATCTGCTTGTGTGAGAGGATGAGAGAAAGAGGGAGAGAAAAAAAGGGACAGAGCAAGACAGAGGATGGAGCAAAAAACTTTAAAGAATGTTAAAGAACAGAATATCTTAATAATCACTCGCCAGCCATTGTATTAAGTACACGTTAGTACCAGGTTGGGCCCTCATTTGCCTTCAGAACTGCCTTAATCCTTCATGGCATAGAATTAGCAAGGTACTGGAAATATTCCTCAGAGATTTTGGTCCATATTGACATGTCAGCATCATGCAGATCCATGATGCGAATCTCCCGTTCCACCACATCCCAAATGTGCTCTATTGGATTGAGATCTGGTGACTGTGGAGGCCAATTGAGTACAGTAAACTCATTATGTTCAATAATTCAGTCTGAGCTTTCTGAAATACTCAGACCAGTTTGTCTGGCACCAACAACCATGCCACGTTTAAAATCCCTTAAATCACCTTTCTTTCCCATTCTGATGCTGGTCTACATGCTTAAATGCATTGAGTTGCTGACATGTGATTTTGCCTGATTAGAAATTTGCATCAACGAGCAGTTGGACAGATATACCTAATAAAGTGACCGGTGAGTGTATATAAAATGGTCTGTGCAATGTTAATGATCCAGTTATTGTCCTTTTTAGATTTCTGGAATAGATTTTAATTCCTACCTAAATAGCATGACAGAAATGATGCATTTGCATTATCAAAACTTGGTGACGGGTTTCACTTTTTATGGTCTTTAAGTTAATAAATGATTAAACAGTAATTTCATTTTGTTCGTAACATGTTATTTTTATTAGTTTTTTTGCTTTCCTTTGGCCTGACTATGGATTTTAGTTTTATTTAAATTCAATTCATGTTTATTTATATAGCGCTTTTACAAAGCAGATTGTATTAAAGGCGCTTTATAATCTAGTAATGTTTGTTGGTATACAATCAAAAACATAAATCATGTCAATTATATTGTGAACAATACTTTTGATTTTTGAGATTAAAGCTATGTTAATATGTTACTAAGAAGCTGTATATAATTTGCCTTCATATCTCCATCATACACTGTAAATAAACTGCAAGGTCACACACAATTCATTCATGTTGTTCCGACACAAATTAAGTTATCTTAACACTTTTAACAAATTCATGTGGATTGAACATAAAAAATTAAGTTGTCCCAATGAAATCCCAAGAATTGTGTTGTTTTTCAGCTCATTTTAAATAAGTAGTTTGGACAAGCAAAAACATATATATTTTTGAGTGTATCCAGTAAATTCTTTTGAAGGAATAATTCACTCAATTAAGGAAAATTACCTCATAATGTTTTCATTAAAATATCAAAAAAAAAAAAAAAACATTAATTCCGCTGTAGCGACCACTAATAAATAAAGGGACTAAGCTGAATAGAAAATGAATTAAATGAATGAATGAATGAATGAATGAATATCAAAAAAAAAAAAAAACACACTATAAGATTCTCATATATTTTGTAGACCTGTGTACTTGTATTATTAAAATTTGTCAAGGAATATTCAAATCCATAGAAATAAGCAATATTGTAATATAGAAGGTGTCCTGTGTCTGCATGCTAGTTGCCTAAATTAAAAAAAGCATGTTTACAGATTTTAAATAGTTTCTAAAGTGATCCATAAATATTGTTCGACTGACTGATTGATCCTTTACACATTCCTCCTCATGACAGTTTAGGCTTTGACAAGAAAACAAGCAGCTCCTTGTCAGCCCAGCTGTCAGGCTGACTCTACTCAAGCTTTACACTGGTTAGTGAGACCCATTTCTGCTGCTAAGAGCAGCGTTTCAGTGAATGCTTTGAAGTTAGTCTTGAAAATGTTATTTGCACGTGAATAACTCCCGCTTTCTGAGTTGTACACATTAAACGCCTTTGAAATGACAGGTGATCACTTCTCTTGTTATTTTCCGACATCGCCCTGTTTTCATGTTCTGTTTCCTTTGTTTTTCTATAAATAGTGTTATTGAACGGCAAGTGAAATTGCTCAGATTTGAAGGACAGCCAAAGGTGTACAAATTTTATAGGTTGTCAGACATTCAAACACTTCCGCTGTGTATGCATAAAAAGAATGAAAGGAATATTGCATATTGTCCTGGAACTGTCTATGGATGCGCACTCATCATTTTAGTATGTGTTTATGGACTGTACAGAATAAAGACATGAAAAATCTCAGTGCATGAGGGAGCTGATGTGTCTTTTTGAGGAGGTGGATGTGGGGTCAAAGGTCACTGCTCTGATGTTCAGTTGCTGTCAATATACTGTGTACACTAGTGGCAAATGCTTACATTATTCAAAGCTTCAACACAGATGTGTATCTCATTAAGAAATGCACATGTTTCGCCATTCCCCCATCAGAGCATGTGCTCTCACCCACACATACTGTACAAAGATTCACCCACACACTTAGGAGGGAAGAGTTCAAGAGCTCTTTGGTACAAGTATAGGGTACGATATTCTATAATATAAAAATGGCTAGTAAAGGTTTCCAGCATCTTAAACTGGATTAGAGTGCATCAGCAGAAACTGAGATGATAGTGGTCACACTGCAGGGAGGCTGTCTCAACATCAGTCTGTAAAAATTGATTAAGTCCATGACATAAAACTTAAATAAATCAGTTTGATCACCTAACAAAATGATTATTTTTTATCTTCCTCTTGATTTTTCCTATTTATTAAAATTGTATTTACTATTTTCCCCAACATAATCATTTGAATCTATAAATTTTTGAAGTTTTTAAAAAGGATTTTGTTAGATTAATTTTAGTTTAGGTTTTGTACTTATCTCTTTTGGACTGATCCAACTTATATGCACAAATATACTATTGTAAAGCATTCTTTAAAAAATTAATGTTAAATACAATTTTCGAGGGGTGAACTCATTTTTGCTGAGCGCTGTATACATTGTTTGCCACTGAAGATTTTTGTTCTTCAAAACAGCTTTGTGAGCTTTATTATAGTGTCTTTCTATCAGTATTTGTTGTTACAGCCTTGTGCTTTTTTTCCTTGCCATAAAATAATCAGGTTTTGTAGGCAACAACAACAAAAATAAAATCAAATGGAAGACATGAATAAAACAAAATAAAGTAATAATAAATGTGACCCTGACCCTAATCCAAACTATGCCTATTCCCTTTCAGCCTCACCTAGGGGGTTAATAGTAGCGTGTCAGCCTTTACATTACTTAAAACTGAATGTAATGCTTTCTCAATCCCATCCATTTCTGCCCCACAGACTTTTAGATTTTCTCTTAATAATAATAACAATGCTAAAGGTCCATTCAAAAAAAGAAAAAAAAAAAAATATATATATATATATATATATATATATATATATATATAAATAAAATTATTGAAATATAATTATTAATTGTTTGATCAAATGGCTATATTCACTAAAATAATCCAATAAAGAACTAGAAAGATAATTTAAACGAGTTATTGCAAAAAGAAAATTACAAACAGCAAAATTTGTAGTATTTATTCATGTTTCTCTTGATTTTTCCTATTTATTAAATGTGTCTACTATTTTTTCCCAACATATTTATTTGAATGTATTGTATTGAATATAAAATAAGGTTTTTGTTACTGACTGATCTAATAAGTTAAATAAATTTGTGAGGGGTGTACTAATTTATTCAAAACTGTTTTGTGGTTTACAATAATAACAAATTGTGAGCTTTATTATGGTGTCTTGCTATTAGTATGTTGTTAGAGTCTAATGTGTTTTCCTTGCCAAAAAAACGATCAGGTTTTGTAGGCAACAATAATAAAAAACTAAATAAAATTAAATAAGTAAATAAATAAAAGCAAATAAACAAACAAGTAATAAATGTGATCCTGATCTCAACTATTCATATTCCCTATCAGCCTCACCTGAATTTCACCTGAATTTAATAGGGGGTTTATGTTAAAAGTAGCCTGTCAGCCTTTACAATATATGAAACTCAATACTGTTTCATTCCCATCTCGTTCTGTCCCACAGACTTTTAGAGTTTCTTTTAATAATAATAACAATGTTGTAAAGTGTCCACGGCTCCGCGTAAACAAGCGCGTGAGTCCCCCGCCCCTCCTCTGCGCGAGCGAGCGAGCGAGCGCTCCTGTGTGCGCGTGCTGCTGCTGCTGCCAGTTCCGTGTCGGCCGCGAGTTTACCAGCCACGCACTGCCTGCACGCGCTCCATCCACCGCCGGGCTGCAGCGATGTGACTCTCTCCGGTTCTCACTACCCCCTTCCACGGTCTCCATTACCGAACCGGCGCAGTGAGGCGAGGGGATTCGTAACGGTGAGTCTATATTCAATGGCCACGGAGCGAGGGAATCTGCGCTGCGTTTATCGGTTTGGGGGCACCGAATGTGTGTAAAGTTTGGGGAGGGGAGAAACCGTGTCATGTGGTACGACAGAGGCTGCGACTCCGTCAGGCTGATATGCTGGAGCGGAGAGATGCGTAATTACGGAATGTAAAAACGGCGTCGCGAGACGAGCTCAACTTGCCATGTGTTATAATTTCCATGGGGATGACGTCACGCAGTCCTTGACGCCCGTGCGCGCGGCTCGCTCTGATGAGATAACGGGACTGTGACACAACTGCGCGTCTCGGGTGCACACTAAAAGCTAAACAGGAACAGGTCATTGCTTTATAGCGCGTTTACAAATGGAGGGTCGCAGTCTGTTTATGTTAGTTATTAATCACGTATCAGCCCGTGAGTTGCTGTTTTGCTCTTATACAAGTATGTATTACATAAAAGCCAGAGAGCGAGTGGTACGTCATCGCAAAAATGATTGACCGATGATGTTGTTCCTCTGAAAACACAATTCAACAGTGCATGCGAATGTTTAAATGTGTGAAAAGTCTGACCCTCAGAGAACCAAGTTCCTACGTAGATGATGTTCTCATGTCGTTGTTGAAAGTGCGTTTGGAAAGCCATTGGTAATAAAAATCATTAGTTTTTAAGGCATATGTGGCATTGCAGAAATGCTGGACTTTCACAGCTGAGTACTACAGACAGCTTCACTACTGTACAGATTCCATATAATACTACATTATTGGGGTTTGTTGTCACAAAGGCAAGGCAAGTTTTTTTATACAGCACATTCCATACACAATGGCTACTCAAAGTGCTTTAAAATAAACAGGAATAAAAGAGACATGTAAGAAGTGTAAGAAAATAAAAAGAAATAATGAAAATAGATTAAAATGTGTTAAAACAGGTTAAAAATAATAAAAAGTGTATTCAGTGACATACATCCTGAGATAATTATACATGATGCTGACCATGTGTCAGGTACAAAAAAATTATTTGTTGCAGGCTGTTTTTTTCACTTAAAGGAGATAAGAGATTACTAAATGTGTTCAAAAGATGTGCATATATTACATTTATAAGTGTAATTAGTTTTTTCTCAGTCAAAAAAATTGCTTTCATTCAATGGGTTCTATGCACAGAGTTTTAAACTTCCGGTATAAAAACTTAATGTGACTATTTTTAAATTTCACAAGGTTTTGCAGCATCAATGTTTTGATTTAATTACAATACATTCAGTTAAATTGACTTCAGCATTCATTTAGTTGCTCAAACATAAAATGAGATGGAAAGCCATTGTAACCACTTGCACCGTCAGAAGCAACAGGCTAGCGCAGAAATTCCAGTGAAAATACTGGGTTAAAATAATAGTCATATTTTAAAGACATGGCAGGAGGAAATGGGATATAATGCAGTGCTTCTTGTCCAGTCTGAGACCCACTTCATATCATATATCTAACAGGCACTGAAGATCGCAGATTTTAAAAGAAATCAGATCTGAAATGTGCCAATTTTGTAATGCAAAGACAGGTCACCCGAAGCCCTCGAGCTGCCTGGCTGAAAATGAAAAGTCTGTGTCCATGTAGCCCATTCAAAGTGTTAGAGGACTAATTCAGCTTATTTATCAAAATAAACAGATACCATTAAATTGCATTAAACTTGAGCTTCATTTGATGCAGCATTTAAATATTTTAAATGTGATTAATATAATGCAAACAAACAAAATATTGACCCACAGAAAAATAGCTTAATATTCTTCTTTTTAATACTCAACCGTACTGAAATTAGGCTCATGTTCTGTATAGTCTCAAAAAAGAGCCTCAATATGATGGCTGTATCTGGTGGTTTTACCATGGCCACACAACCTTCACATCATCAAGCCAACAAAAACTTAAAGGAGCTCATGAAATGACACACCCTTCACTTTTTCCCTGTCTGTCTTGACAGGGACTTTCCTACAAGTTTTGAGCCTGAAAGAAGTCCTGAACTCTGATACACTTGCTTAACAAAGCTCAGCTCTCAAGTCTGGTTTGAGTTGGACTGGTTTCAAAACACAGTGTGTGGTGTAATAGTGGAAGCACAGCACAAAACTGAACAGTCATACTAAAAGTTGGAAATACGTGTTATTACAATAAACCCTTGTATGCTTGTTTTGTTTTCAACCAGAGTCACTCTCTCAACAATAATGTCTTCAAATCGAAGTTATAACTGCCTCAAAAAGGAGGCGATAATGAAATCGCTGGCGCACAGGCAGCGCAGTGAGTCCAGCTTGTGATCTTCTGACCTCTGTGGACCCTTGAGTCGAGATGGCGACCCACCGAAAGCATCTGGTCCGAGATTTCAACAGATACATCACTTGCTCCATTTGCCGTGGGTACTTGATCAAGCCCACAGCTGTCACAGAATGCCTGCACACCTGTGAGTCACACTCGTCTCACCAGCTCTCTTTTCTCAGAATATTTTGGTACTTTATTTCCCCAAAGTGTTGTTTCTTTCTTTGGTGTTGAGATGCTTATCATCAGAATAAAGCATTTGTTTCATTTGCTGAGCTTATTTCTTAAAAAAAACTTAGCTAAAACCTCTACAACATTTTCAGGCTGCAATTATCATGTATTGGACAGATGGTAGATGTCTTTTGGTAGATGCCTATTGGTAGATGTCTTTTAGACCTGCTCATACATGTCTGAGCATCATCATGTCTTTAGTTCTGTCGTTAAAACATATTTGTGTAACATTTAACATGCCTGACATCCAAATTCTTGGTCAGGCCCTCTTATAATGTCTTGTAATGTTTACCAGATATTTAGCAGAATGTAACAGGTCAAAAGATTGACTCAGAATTGCTATTTGGGTGTCTATCTAAGGCTGGAGGGTGATTAAAAGTTCACAGTAACCTTTTCAAAATTGGTAGTGTTAGGGAGTAACTCATTACAACCAGCATTGTTATTGATATTACAAAAAAACAAAAAAACAAAAAAAAAACAAATATATATATATATATATATATATATATATATATATATATATATATATATATATAATTTGTTGGTTGATTTAAATAAACTTTAAAGGAATCATTCACCCAAAACTGAAGATTCTCTCATTATTTACTCACCCATTACTTGTTCCGAATCTGTTTCTTTCTTCTGTTGAACACAAGGCAAGGCAAAATTATTTATATAGCACATTTTTATCATACACAATGGTAATTCAAAAGTGCTTTACATAAACAGGAACAAAAGAGACAAGTAGAAGAAAAATAAAAACAAATAATAAAAATGATTTAAAAAGATAAAAACAGATTAAACTATGTCAAAAACAGGTTATTAAAGAATGAAAAAGAATAGAAAGACATATTAGTTTGATCTGTCTGACGTAGCACAGTGCTCATTCAGTAAAGGCACAGCTAAACAGATGTGTTTTTAGTCTTGATATGAATGTGTCTAATGTTGGAGCACATCTGATCATTTCTGGAAGCTGATTCCAGCAGCGGGAGCGCAGTAGCTGATGGCTGATTTACCACGCTTTGACAGAACTCTTGAAGTTTCTAGTTTATATGATCCTAAAGGTCTGAGTGATCTGTTAGATTTGTATTCAGTGAGCATATCTGTAATGTATTGAGGTGCTAGGCCATTTAGGGATTTTTAGACAAGTAGTAATACTTTAAAATCTATTCTGAATGTAACTGGGAGCCAGTGTAGAGGACCTGAGCACAGGTATGATGTGCTTAGATTTTTTGATTCTGGTCAGAATCTTGGCCTCAGTGTTCAGTCTTTTTGGGAAGGCCAGTGAGGAGTCCATTACAGTAATCCACCCTGCTGCTGATAAAAGCATGAACATAGTCCTCACTGGAAACAAAGCATCTAATACTTGCACTGTTTTTGAGATAATATAGGATGCTGATTTACTTACTGACATAACTACTGAAACTCAGATCTGACTCCATAATCGCACCAAGATTTGACCTCTTGACAAAGGAAGAGATATTAAAGAAAGCTAAAACCATGTTACCATTGACTTCAACAGTATTTGTTTTACTATTATAGAAGTCAATGGTTACTAGTTTTCAGCTTTTCTCAAAATATATTGTTTTGTGTTTAAAATAATAAATAAGAGAAACTCAAATGGGTTTGAAACCACTTGTGAGAGAGCAAATAGTGAGTAAATAAAAATTATTGTGGAAACTATCTCTTAACGATTAAATAAAAAAAATTAAATGAGAAAGGTTGTGTTGTTAACTAGTTCTAAATTTTACATAAATTAAGTTGAAAACCTTCTAAAACTCAAATAAAAATTAAAAGAGACAAAACTAAAATTACAAGCACTTTAACTGACTAAAACTAAAATAATAACTAAAATAAATGTAAAAATGAATACAATACTTGACAAATAAAGTAACATTTGAAAAACTACTTTTAAATATTTTTGTATCAATGTACACAATATAGAAATGTGCACAAAATGTATTTATGTATAATACATTTCATATATTTTTTTAGTTTTGTGGATTTTTTTATTACAAATTGTGTATTGATGACATCTAATACAAGTTGATCTGTTATGCTTATAACATTTGTATTTGAGCATTGGCATGCAATTTATCCAAAGTTGCCTGCATTGCAACATTTTATCAGTTTCCTGGGAAACTTTGTGTGTTTGATTAATACATTTTCTGACCCTGGTGTTCTATCACCAAACTATTTGAGCCATCATGTTGTTGGTTATATAATGGGCTGAATGTATGCACATTGTTTTTATTATCTTATCTTCAGTAAGCAGTTTGATAGCTTGAATAATTTGATTTGACCATCACTTTCTCTTGTTCCTCTTCTGTTCTTCCTCTTGTTCTTATTCCACTTTCCTGCAGTTTGTAAGAGCTGTATCGTTCAGCATTTTGAGGAGAGTAATGAGTGTCCTGAATGTGGGATACAAGTCCACGAAACAAATCCTTTAGAGATGCTGAGGTACCCAAACACTTATTTCTTACATACACAAATTTAGTACAAGCACGAGTTCTTTGTGTTATATGTGTAATCTTGGCCTCTGCTTTTGCAGGCTAGATAAGACCCTAGAGGAGATCATCTTTAAACTGGTGCCTGGACTAAGAGAAAGTGAGTGCATGCATACTCCATCCATAAGGCGCGTCAGAAATTCTCTGTGCAGGTCATGTGCTTGTGTTTTGGTTTGTATACCTTTAAACAGCTTCTTAAATGTACTTTCTTTGCATGCCTGTGTTTATTTACTAGAGGAGGAACATCAGGAAAGTGAATTTTGGAGAAAACACAAGATCAAATCAAATGGAGAAGGTAATTCATTATTTTCAACCTTAGAACCATGTACACAGTGTACATTGGAGATCAATATTGGAGAGGAATTCATGTACACTTGTTTTTTTTTTCAGAAATACTGTAATCTCCATTTATGTTCAAAATTGGAAGGAGTTTTAGTTTTGGCAAATCAATGTTAGTTATAACAGTGTTTTACAAATTAACCAAGGGGCTTTAACCATTTATTTGGGTTGATAACCCAGTGATTAAAATTGGAGAACAGTAATAATTGTAGCATTACAACTTTCTACTATAAACTTTCTGCAGCCAAAAATAAGGCCCATCAACTCCAAAACAATTTGCTTGAAAAAATACTTTATATATATATATATATATATATATATATATATATATATATATATATATATATATATATATATATATATATATATATATATATATATGTACTGTCAATCGATTAAAAAAAATTAACTAATTAATCGCACCTTTTTAAAAAAAAATTATTGCGATTAATCGCATTTAAAATACTGAAACTTGTAATTTTGGCTATTTAAATGTCAAATAAATGTAAACGCAAGACAAAAACTATTTAAATTCATAATATAATTGTTTATTAGAATTAAAATTCAAAATATAATTGTTTAATAGAATTTTTGTTTAACTTGTAACACAGATTTCTTCATGTAAACAACACACCCACAATAAACCATCAAGATCCTGGCTTGACAGCCATATTACAGAAATTAAAACACAGGCATGTTAATGACATTTAAACTTCAAAACAATCAATGCCAATAAAGAAAACATTGATTTCCATGTTGGATTCTAAGTGGACTGCAAAAAAAAATGCCAAAATACAGGAATTGCAGATATGGAAAATGAAAAATATAATAATAAACTATAGAATACAAACAGTTGCACTCATTGTAAAGTTTTATTGCTGTGAGTTGAGAACATTAGTTATAGAGTAGAAACAAGTTTGCTTAATCCTCCTTTACATTTATCCAGTTGCTAAGACTAGGAGTATCCCGCAAGTGCACAGAGACTCCTAAATGCCCGCAAATGAATGATAATTTCTCGCAAACCGGTCGTTAAATACATTGCACACCCCTCTCGCCCTTACTCAGATACGTCGCTCACTCCACTCCTGACACAGACACACACAAACACACACACATCGCGCTGCAGACGTTTTGGCCCCAAAGGCCTTCCATACTGGAGCGACTCCCCTCAGATTCAACACGCATGATCACGTTCATCAAATTTGCTTAAACTAAGCGTCCTAAAGTATTACTGTATTTCAGGAGGATTCTGACACAACAACGCGAAGCATACCCTTTCATTGCGTTTAATGAGGAAACAAGCTAAACTTGGAGGGCTCATGCTGAAAGGCAGAGTAATGCCCTGTCTTTGACAGCTCGCGACTTCACCAGAGACGTTCTGAGTACATTCACATAGACACCAATACTCCGATTTTAATATGATTAAGATTATACTCTTATTAAAAGTCTACCATGTAGCCTTAAAAGGAACCTTACCTTAAAGGAACACAGAGTCACGAAATGTGGAGGATTTTCTTTCTAGGATTTTTTTTAACGCATTAATTATTTAAAATGAATTGCATGCGTTAACGCGTTAATTTTGACAGCGCTAACATATATATATATATATATATATATATTTTTTTTTCAAATAATGCATTTGGTCATCATTTAACAACAAAAACACGGTTTGTATCATGTAAGGATGGCTGAAAAACAAAGTGAAACAGGAACAAACAAATGCTTACAGATAATCCCAAGCGTAAAGGCGGCAAACAAAGTAACAAAGCAAAGGGTCAAAAACGGCAAAGCAAGGAAAAATGCATCGTAATGATCACTAAACGGTTTAACAAGACAAACCAAACAACATGTCTGTATACGTGCTGAGTTTATAGTCCTTGAAATTAGTCCATAATGATTATCTGACTGTGTGTAATCAGTGAGAATTAGGTACAGGTGTGTGTGAATTGCATGCTGGGAGTTGTAGTTTGTTAACAAAGCATGTGTGTAGTTCTCCAATTCTCCGCAGCTGCTAGATCACTTGTGATCGTAACAGTTAATGTACTGTAGCAACATTGTTGGCCACTGATTAATTTTTTAACAATAACCCATTTTTCCATAAACAGTTTATAGCGTGGGAATGACAGCTAATTAGAGCCATTTATACATTATGCATTACAAAAAACTAAACTGTAAATAACTAAACTAAACAAAAAATAATTTAACAACAAAATACAAGCAATAACTGTACATTTGATGTTATTATTTTTTTATTACAGAAGATATTTGTAAAACAACAGGTATTTCACTGTATAATAAAAAAACTGGAAAATTCTGTAATAAACACAGACAATTACCTGTAAAATAACGTTTATTTTTTACAGTGTTGTCTTTTATAGGAAATCACTAACCTCCCTCTGACTTCACTAGTCTCTTACAGACATCGCTAGTCTCTAACCCACATCTCTAGACTATCACAGACATCACTAGTGTCTCATAGACATCCCTAGTCTCTAATAGGACATCACTAGTCTCTTACAGCACATCACTACTCTCACACTGTTCTCCCATGTGATCTTGATCAGCTCTTTTTTTTATAATTTATCTTCCACAGTTGAGTACTGTACTGTTTTTTTTTTTGTAAAAACTTTTTCATTTGTTTTCTATCAGGGTTTAGATTATGACTCTGGGCTAAACATTTAATTATTTTCATGTTTTTAGCTTCAAGGAACTGCTTTACTTGTTTAGCTGTGACACATCCTTCTCTTCTTTCCACTGACTTCTTTACACACGTTGGATTCAGTTTTTCCAAAGTTTGACAACAAGCATAATGCTTTCCACCATACCCCCCCCACCCCCCAATTACACCTGCTTTCCTCATTAAAGTGAACTTGGGACCAGTTCAGACCAGTGAGAAAATACGACATTGAATTTATTTGATGAGTATTATTTAACAAAAGTATCATTTAGCAAATCTGTCTGTAGCTTGAATTGGAGGCTTTTAGATCCAGCTATGACTGCCGAGGACAGAGGCAGGGGCAGATAGGGCCAACCTGGTGGTGGCGGGGAGAATGTTGGATGAATGTCTGTGTCAGTATCTGCAACCAAATAAATGAAATGAATGGACAGCTTATATATTCCCTGTGTCTTGTGGCTATTGGTTGAAACTTATTGTTATGAGTGACATGACATAGGTATTCCTTGTCTTCTGGCTATTGGTTAGAAGAACTAATTGTGATGAGTGACATGACATTAGGTCTTCCTTGTAGAACTAGCACTAAAAGCTGCATTTCTCTGTTGACACAATATGCTCCTCAGCAGAGTTTAGTCTAGCCTGCTATTGAACTGGTGATTATCAACTCCATCTGTAGCGTTGAACTAGCTACAGCCATTGAGATCCTCCACATTATTCTCTCCTCTCCTTCATTTGTCTTTTGTGGACGACCAACTTTTCTGGGTCTCCTTTTGCCTTCATCTAGATAACCTGCTGTCCGAGGGTTTCAATCACCTGTGATTCAAATCAGTGAAAACTAGAATGTTTGGCTGGCAGATAAATAGTTTTGTCAGATATTTAAGGAAAATCACCACCAGGTGAAAAATTAACACCAGTTTTTTATGCTTAACTTTTATCTTTTTTTGGAAGTGGCACATCAAAACAGGTAAAGCAGTCATGATCTAGAAAACCTCTAGAAAAACTAACTTCAGTAGGATTAAGCAGTGATCTAGGGGATTGTAGGTTGTTCTCTAATTCAGATTTTCACTGTAGGCAGATTATATCAATACACCTGATGGCTAAAGGTCAGATTTTCTTTGTCTTTCTTCTAGATGGTCCTAGAGCTAAGAAATCTCGACTGAGTGGTGAAGATGATGATGGGAATGGTGGCGACTACCACAGGAGTGATCCTCAGATTGCTATTTGTCTGGACTGTCTAAGAAACAATGGCCAGTCAGGAGAAAGCATAGTTAAGGTGCACCGTTTAGTTCAATGTGTATGTTAGACTGTATGCTTGTGTGCATGTTTGTAATCTGCGCTTTTTGTATGTCTGCAACAGGGTTTAATGAAGAAATTCATCCGCTGCTCCACCCGTGTTACAGTGGGAACCATTAAGAAGTTCCTCTGTGTAAAGTTGAAGCTGCCAAGCTCTTATGAGGTAAGATACTGTTTTTATTATAGTCTCACTAGGCTGTCAACAAGGGCAAACTGCATTTGTGTGTGTGTATTGAGTTAATAGTTTTCTTGCACAATATGATACAGATATTAATAAATGAGCCCTTGACGGGTTTACAATAAGTTGTAAAACATAATACTCAATGAAAATAATTTCAGAGCCTCTCCTGTTCTTTAAAACATTTAAAGTTAAATCTCTGTCTTTGTTTCTTACAGCTTGATGTTTTGTGTAACGGTGAGATTATGGGTAAAGATCACACCCTGGAGTTCATCTACCGAACTCGCTGGAGACTTCAAGGGGACAGTGTGAGTATATGCATCCGATTCAAATGTTATAACTCGATTGAATGGGCGTTACCAGTGGTTATCAGCTGACAAATATGGGCCAGTAGGAACTTTTGCACCTACTGGTAAGCTCAGAAGGCTGTTATTAACCATCCACATGGTTAATCAGGTATAGATCACATACGGCTCCGGCAAGAATTATTCATATTAATTATATAATAAGAATTATTTATATTATCTATTAAATTTCCCATTAATTGTATTTTATGAACGTCTACCCCAACCCTAACCCTAAACCCAAACATCACAGTAAGGTAAAAACAGATCTAGAGTCTTCTCTATTAGTATAGCTGATTAACTATGTGGATGGATGATAACAGCCTTCTGAGCCTTCCAGTAGGCACAGAAGGCCCCTACTGGCCCATATCTATCAGCTGATAACAACTGATAATTCCCATTCAATTGAGTAATAACATTCGAAGTGGGTGTTATATGAGTGTGGCTTAAATTGTGGCAACGTTGTTGGAAGTGAATTTCCTCAAAATGATATTAAGACCAGCTTAGCATCCCCAGGAGAAAAGTGGCTTTTCTTCTTAAATGTTGTTAATACTTTCGGTAACACTTTACAATAAGGGTTCATTAGTTAATGCATTTACTAACATGAATTAATCATGAACAACACATGTACAGCATTTATTAATCATAATTGATCATTTACTAATGCATTATTAACATTTAAGTCCATGCTTGTTAACATTAGTTAATGCACCATGAGTTAACATGAACTAACAATGAACTACTGTATTTTCATTAACTAACATTTACTAACATGAACAAATACAGCAGTAAATGTATTGTTTATTGTTTGTTCATGTTAGTAAATGCATTAATTAACATTAACTAATGAACCTTATTGTAAAGTGTGACCATACTTTCTTTTGATTAAAGAGCCCATATTATACATGAAATAGGGTCATATCCTGGTTGTAAGGGTCTCCAACAACAGTCTAATATGCATGCAAGGTCAAAAAACACTTTCATGGTCTTATAATCTGCATTTATTTTTAGCTAATTATCCCAGCGACTCCTGTATGAATCGTCCAGTGATTCATTTGTTCCCAAACCCCTCCTTAGCGCGGAGCTAATCTGCGCTGATTGGACCGATGACAGTCTGTCGCGATTGGTCGACTGCCTTCAGTCAGAGAGGGAAATGGCCAATAGCTAATCAGCAATTTAAAAAGTAATCACAGTTCATACACGCTCGATAGTGTAGACGTGGATTTTAGCTGCCACACTATGGCGAGTGGATAGTGCCACGGATAACCGAACGAAGGAGACAGTCGTGTACTCGCCATACCACACACACACACAAAAACACACACACACCTCCGGATGACAACGCTCCCGCTTCCGCCCGCACCCGCCAGGTTTTAGCCTGAGAACCCGCTCCGTTTTCTGCCCGCCGCGCCCGGTCCCGCTAGAGCGGAGAACACAACCAAAAATCACCCAGTATACAGTCCAGACAGCCAAGCTGTCCAAAGCTCGTTTGTTCGTTCGCTCTCTCTCTCTCTCTCTCTCTCTCTCGCTCTCTCTCTCTCTCATACGCGCGCGTGCGCACTAACACACACACAAGCACCACGCAGACTCTCTCTTTCTAATTCGCATAGCAATATCCGTGATATTGCTAGACAGCCCGCTCCCGTCCCAAATTAAACCCGTTACCGACCGCTCCCGCGATTTATTCGGAAATTTATTCCCGCGGCTGTCCCCGCGCCAGATTTCTGCGGCGCGGGAATAAATTTCTGAATAAATCGCGGGAGCAGAACTCTAGCACGGAGCTCCATAAACAAACAGCACGCGTCGCGTTTTTAACGTGACTTTGCACGCGATAAGATAATATATCCAGTTAACCTGATACAGTACACGCGGTTACAAGTAACAAATCACAACTAAATACATTTGCAAGCTAGAGTAAACGAGGCAACAACTTTAACCGCACGTACTTACACTTGAGAAATGGAAGAAACCCATCCTGACGTCCATCAGTTACTCTTTACTGATCCTTCCTTTAACAAACTCAGATGAAGTATTGTAAGTATAGCATGTAGCTTCCAGAAGTTTCCAACTGCTTGGTTATAATGCTGATGTTTCATCTTTGGGTAGAGACTCAATATAATGTCCATCTGCAGTGTTACTTTAATCGACCGGCATGTTTGTGTGCGTGTGTTTGTGGGTGTGCGTGTGTTTGTGGGTGTGCGTGTGTGTCTGGGTTTCTGCGTCAGAGGGCGGGGCCTCAGGTTTGAAATCTCCCGGGTTTGCGCGTGCACGTGAATAACTTGGTTTCGTTCGTACGTCATGGCGAAACACCTAATGAGTCGGTATCAAGGCGACTCGTTCGAAGCACTATGAGTCGACTCTTTTATAGATGAATCAACCGTTTTAAACACTGTATTCTTACAGATTTAAGCCTTAGCTGGATACTTCACTTCACTTAGAGCTGTGTTACACACTACATGGAGGGGAATTTTCAAAAACCCATAATATGGGCTCTTTAATTTGACAGTCTGCTTCAGAGCCCAGAATAAAAATATATGATTATTTAATATAAAATCAATAGAATGCTTATTTTATTTGAAAACAATATCTGTGACTGTGTATTTGCATCCTTTAGATGTGCAAAAGTGTCACAAAATTGGTGGTTATATGTGGGATATAATTTAGGGTTGTCAGTAAATGTGCATTAAAATGCAGATTACAGTCACATTCAGAAAATCTGATACTATCACTTGAAGCAAGTCCTCTTCAGACATCTCTTTTATTTAAATACACAGAATACAAAACAACTGCTACTTTTTCATTTTGCTTTATAAATACTAGTTAACCTCCAGGTTTACTTCCAGGTAAACTTAGAGTGCAGTTAAACAGAAAGTATAACAAATCTTTTTTTTACAATCCTATTTGCTGAAATAATAAAAGACAAAATTTACGAGGGTGTTAACAACACTTTTAGAAAAGGAAAAAAATTGGGCGAGACTGATGACGGCAGCCAGAGGAGAGAATAACATTAAATTTATTCTCAGCCCCATAGACACTGTATTAGAAACACCTTGCGTAAGCGGTTGTTCGTTTTTTGTAATTTGACGCAAAGATGATATAATACATTCATAAATGCATATAAATGTTCATACGATTTAAAAATAAATCTATATATCAAAAACTTTTAATAAGATTATGATGACCGTTAAACGCAATATAACAGTTTTGTGAAAAGGGTCCATTGTAATTAATAAAACAATAATAGCATCAGTAGTTTTTTTTACAGTAAAAACAAAACTGCTTATATTTCTGTGACCCTTAGATATAATTATTTTCTAAATCCATGTGATCTTAAATAGTTTTCTTTAGATACTTTTGCAAGCATTGTGTTTATTATACCAAACTAAATATGTTTGTTTGTTTGATTTAACTTACCTTTTAAAAAGACTTTCGTTGCTTGTTCAAACTACCTAATTAAAATGAACCGAAGCAACACAATTGTTAAGTTTTTTGTAGGACAACTTGTTTTATGGTCAATCCACCTAAATTTGTAAAAACGTGCAAGTTAACTTAATTGACTAATGATAGGACAACATTAAAGAATTGTGTTGAACCCAGCATTTTTTTACAGTGTTTACACTTTAAAAAGTGATTAGTTACTTAAAGCAAGTAAATCAACTGCTTTAAAAGCAACAAGTGGACTTTACTTAAAAATAATATAAGTAAACCCATTCTAACTAAGTTGACTTAACTTAAATTTATACAAGTTTAATACAATTAACTAATCGCTTTTATACAGTGTATATCGACCATTACATTTTAGTAAGGTGTTCACACATATTTTGTGTTTGCATTAAACAGGTTACAAACCTCTGGTCAGGAGACTCCCACATTTTACAGATCATTTATTAAAAAGTTAGTTTGACCCTGAATTGGCGTGTATGTGTGTGTGTTCATGAGAAGTGTGAGTGCGAACAGCTGTTGCTGAGTTGGTGGTGTTTGTAGGGGGCAAAAAACCCACTCTCACAGCTACTGACAGATCTATGAGTCATATTTCTCCAGTTACACACACACATAGACCAGAGGTTGACACAAAATCAGAGGACAAATCCATGCCCTGAGGTTGCGTCCTTGCTTTTCACACCACAAGAAATTTGGAGAGAGAACTATGAAAATGATACGCATGCATATTTGAAGCTTAAGTCATTCTCTACTTTGGTTTCTACCCCAGGCTTATCCCATGGTTCTCGAGTACCGTCCAAGGATCGACTTTGGCTAAACCACACTTACAGCTTACAGCAGAAATCTCATGCAGACTGATGTCAAGAGATGAACTAAATGCAGAAAAACTGAATGATTGTGCCTCCGTTGAAAGACAACAACACAATGCCCGGTGACTGACAGGACTGCTCTGTTCCTTCTGTGCACTCAGCCTTTAATTCTCCGTTCCTCCCTCCTTCATGCTCCCGTCTGACAGTCGTGGCTCCGCCCACTGGCTCTGGATCAAGTTTGACGATTATATTCCTCCAAAGCTTTCTCTGCATGTTCTCTCTATGACGATGCCTTAGCATAGAGCGGCCCGTTGGGATTATCTGATAGCAATCTAGCACAGACGGTAAGCTAAAACTCATAGCAAAGATGCTTCCCGGCCAGGTGAGAGGAGAAGAGGGGAAACTGAGACTTTTTTTTAGGTAGATTTTAGATTAGAGCCGTTTTAATCCAAGAGTTTGCACTATAGAGGCAAATCCAAATGTCTCGCTGTATTGTGGCTGTTCTGTTTTACCTTTGCACTCTCTCATTTCTTTTTAGTTACTTTGCTCTCCTGCTCTCACCACCCACATGGTCCTTCACAAATTCAGTGACTCTTTTACATGTCATCATTCGCGCACCCTTTATTTCGCACACACACATGTGCTCTCTCTTTCTCAGCCTCTTTCCATCTTCCCTCACACTCTCTCATTTTTCTCCAATGGTGTTTTTGGCTCTGGTCTGAAGTATTGATGGATCTCATTCAGTTGGAATTGAATGAGAGCGCTGTAGATGTCCCAAAATAACAGCACTGAAAGGCACTCTGGGTAAGCGTTTTCTCTCTTTTTTTTTGCCTCACACTGAGCTAAAGCCAAATCTTACATTCATCCAGACCAGATCTTTATCTTAATAGAAATGATATAACAATATCTGATGCCAGATATTCCTAATGCAGTAATTCACTGAGAAAGCTCATCTTTAAAGACAGCTGAATGGGAATGAGTGAAGAGTGCCAGCTGCATCTCTCTAAGAGCAGCTTTGGCTCACAGTCTGGCAGTTGTAAACATTCTGTTGTTTCCCGTTTAATCTGAAAAATATTTAAATGCGATATCAGACAGGCCTCAATAGGCGTGTGAATTTTAATAGCAAAACCCAGAATGTCAGTAACGCCACATTTATTGTTTATTTTGTATGTAATGCAGCAAAATAAGACTATATTGACACAACATTGTGCAACTGAAACAGAATGTGCAAAAAAATATTTCTCACAATAATATAAAGAAAATATAATAAATGATCGGCCACTTTATTGTTACTCTGCAAGATTTTCTGTGCAAGGTAAAAATCTTTGTGTGTGTGTTCAGCTGAAGAAATTTAAAAAACCCAGTTTAGAACTTGAGTGTGAGTAAATGGTTGGGAAAGTTTGATTTTGGGAGAAAAATCCCTTTGAGATGCATTTAAAAATATATGTTTACATAACAAGACAACAAGATTAATGATCCAGAAAGCAGCAGCTTTCATTATTGCTCTGAAAGCTACATAACTACAAAGAATGCTGTGGATTTGCATTAAAATCACAATTAGTGAGAGAACATTGTGTTTCTTAGATCTTTTTTTCACCTTAAAACATCAAAGTTTAAATCTTGTCTAGGTAGTGCACTTTAATAATGCATTATGTAATGTTTAAAAAGTACATCAGCAGATGAAGAGTTTGTGGCCTTCTGTGAAAGTAATGCAGTTGAATTCGTTTTTGACTTCCTCTGGAAACATTAACACCTGTATTTAGTGTTGTCCACTAGTTGGCGTATTGACAAAAACATGTTAAAACCAGTGGTAACCTGTGAGCTGTCCTTTACACTTTGAAACACATTTGACACTGTTACTTATCACAATGAAAATTCACCGATATGACCACACGTTAACATTTATCATTTTTAAAAGCATTTAAAGTCCCATGGAAAAAAATGCAAGTGTGCAGGGCATTATTATATAATGGCATTAATATATGTGGTTACTTCCACAAAGTGGAAGAAAAGTCCAAATCTGATTTTTTACTATAAGCTCTGCATATCAAGAAGTTACTGAGGAGAAAGTCTGAAACTCATCATCATGTTGTTTAAAATAGTTTTTGGACATTAGTATAGTATAGTATAGTATAGTATAGTATAGTATAGTATAGTATAGTATAGTATAGTAAAGGCAATAGGTTTACTATCTAAGTTTATTTACATAAAAATGTTAATTTTTTCTTAATGGTGTATTAGCCTATGACATGAATATTACTTTAAAGTTAATACTTACAGTTAATACATGGACACCAAATTGAGACATTGCCAAACCAATTTTATGCATATTCCCAGAATCCAGAATGCATTTTCAGACTTCAAATTTCAAATCTGCAGCATTATATTGCTCAAAAATGAAATGTGTTAGTGGCTGCACCGTGGCGCAGTGGGTAGCACGTTTGGGTCAGTTGGTGTTTCCGTATGGAGTCGATGTTCTTCCCGTTTTCTGGGTTTTCCTCCAGTTTCCTCCACAAGTGCAAAGACATGTGGTACAGGTGAATTGGGTAAGCTAAATTGTCCGTAGTGTATGTATGTGAACGAGTGTGTGTTTTCCCAGTGATGGGCTGCAGCTGGAAGGGCATCTGCTGCATACTGTAAAACATATGCTGGATAAGTTGGCGGTTCATTCCGCTGTGGCGACCCCAGATTAGTAAAGGGACTAAGCTGAAAAGAAAATGAATGAATGATGAATGAATGTAATGTGATGGTGATATTCAGTGTTGAACAGGATTACATGACTCATTATGTGAACCTTTGTTTTGGATCATCTCAGGGGTTGACAACTGGTGAAATGAGGGTTTGTTCAGTGTTCTCTACTCTATTTTCAGAATAAAGGATTTATAACAATGGGCTTTAGAAATTAGAAGGTCGCTTTAGTCATTGCAATCAATCGAAGATAAATATAGATTAAGAATAAGACCGACTTTCTTGGCAACACCATTATCATTTACCCATGTATATCGACAATGGAAATATATTTGTCCAAATGTTTCTTATGGCGAGCTTATCATATTATTATTCATATTATACAAATACGACCCTTTGTACTGACCCTTCAAAATCATCTGCACTCTCTGTCTGTTCAGTGGAATTTTTGACGTTCTTGTTTAGGACAAAGGCCACTGGCTGCTCTCCAAAATCCAACTTCCTCCCCACTAAGAAAACATGCAAATCCAATATGAAGTGTCTTTTGAGCTCTGATTATAAATACAATGTATTTTTGTATGTTGAAGCACTTATGTATATTTGAACCTATAATCAGATGATTTTATGTCGATGCTTGTCTTTTTCCTAATAGATGATGCTGCTTGGTGTAATTTATTTCTTTTTTTATACGTCCCGCCGCCTGCTATATGTTTTCCCCTTGTAAATGTTCGCACTGTACATGAAATGCTTCCTATTGCGGGCCATGACCTATTGTTATTTAAATAATAAACATTAAAATCTAAAAAAAAAAAAAGTTTTCCTCCCTCATTTCTTGAACTATACGCTACCTGACAAAGGTCTTGTTGATCTCAGTTGTAATAGCAACAATTAATAACTTGACTTCTAGTTGATCTTTTGGAAAAGTGGCAGAAGGTGGACTTTTCCAATGAATCATCTGTTGAACTGCATCCCAATCATCACAAACACTGCAGAAGACCTATTGGAACATGCATGGACCCAAGATTGTCACAGAAATCAGTCAAGTTTGGTGAAGGAAGATCATGGTTTGTGGTTACATTCAGTACGAGGGTGTGCGAGAGATCTGCAGAGTGGATGGCAACATCAACAGCCTGGTATCAAGATATTTGTGCTGCCCATTACATTACAAACCACAGGAGAGGGCAAATTTCTTCAAAAGGACAGCACTCCCTCTCATACTTCAGTTCACATTGAAGTTCCTGAAAGCAAACAAGGTCAAGGTGCTTAAGGATTGGCCAGCCCAGTCACCAAAATTAACATCATTGAGCATGTCAAGGAAAAGATGAAGAAGGAGGCATTGAAGATGAATCCAAAGAATCTTGATGAACTCTAGAAGTCCTGCAGGTATGCTTTCTATGTAATTCCAGATAACTTTATTCATAAGTTATTTGAGTCATTGCAGAGCTGATTATTTTACTTCATAACAACCTCAAAGTATTATCGTCCGAAGTCAGGTATTACTTTTGTTTTATCTGAATATGTTTATTTAACTCTAAAAGTACTGGTAGCCTTTACAGTTTATGAATCACCAATTTTATTTAATGATCTACTTGGCGGCATGGTGGCTCAGTGGTTAGCACCGTCACCTCACAGCAAGAAGGTCTCTGGTTCAAGTCCCAGCTGGGCCAGTTGGCATTTCTGTGTGTAGTTTGCATGTTTTCCCCATGTTCATGTGTGTTTCCTCTGATTGCTCCGGTTTCCCCCACAATCCAAAGAAGAGCGGTACAGGTGAATTGAATAAATGAATTTGCCTTAGTGTATGTGTGTGAATGCAAGAGTATATTTCCCTGTGTTATGTTATGGTTTAAAGGGTATCCGTTGCGTAAAACATATGCCAGAATAGTTGGCAGTTCATTCCACTGTGGCGTCCCTGATAAATAGGGAAGGAAATGTTCTACTAAAGAAAAGTAATCATCTTGGATGCCCTCTAGAGTACATTAACATCAACTTAAAATGTTTGGTTGACCTGTCCCTTTAAGAAGTGTTTGCATTATATATTCGCATTAACGCATCCTTATGCTGTGAGTGCAGCAGACTCAACTTAAGAGAGGATTAAACGTTGAAGTTGTCAAAAGGCATTCTTCAATAACACAATTTCAAGTATGCAATGATATAAGTGTGTGAGAGTTTAAATCCGACCATGAAAAACAAAGGCAGGAATGTGGCTTCTTTTAGACTGTTTCTATGCACAGCTCCCTGCTCTCTTTCTTTCTCACTCCCTTTTTTCTCCTCCTCTAATACACAGGGAAGTGGAATGTGACATGCATTCCTCTGTTAGTCTGTGCATCACTCGTTCAGCTGTCTGTTTGCCCTGCTGTTCATCTTACAAAAGACAAGGTCAGAAATACTGGGGCAAAGGCAACACTTGTTACTTAACCACAAATATGCCAATCCACACCAACACTTACTTTATTGTAGGTGAATTATATGATATGCAACATTTATTTATTGAATATATTCAAC